GCTCCCTCTGCTCTGCTCTCTCCTCAGGTGGCCACGAGGGGCACACCTCATCCTCCAACCCTTGCTATCCAAACAGGATTTAAATGCCATATTCCTGGTTAACATGACAATAATAATCTGTCACAAAAACAGGCTGGTTATATCAATAAAATCATAATCTCTTTCTATTACTGTAAATCAATTTTATTTCAGAATGTCACTATATGTATTGTGATATTTTATGATATATTAAACATTTTTGAAACCTCTGATTGTCTTGACACATACAGTATATCATCATAACACCTAGCCCCACTGTGTCCTTGATTTGTAGTAGTTCCCTCCATTTTAACAGGACTGGCAGTTTGCTAAAAAAAAAAAAAAAGAGAAACTGTCCAACCCCTTTATTGTGGGTCCAATGAATTGAGAGACAGCAAGGGAGGTAGAGCAGTACAGGGAGATAGCAGGGACTACACAGGAGCTAATACTAACAGCTGGGTATTTCCCATTTGACAAGAAGTGGCTGGCTAAACTCTGGAAGTCCCAGGACGCAAGCAAGGGATGAAAGGAGGAGTGTGAGATATGGAGTTAGTGATGAAAGGTGGGTGTTTGTAGTGTACAGTATGTGGGATGGGGTGGGGTGATTAACCAGCTAGCAAAGAAAAACTTCTATTCATTGCCTCTGAAACAAGCTGTCAAATGAGACAGAAAGGAAGGGATGGGGAACAGAACAAGAGAAAGCAAGGCGGAGTGAAGGGGGAGAGAGGAAGGGAGGAGGCAGCCACACTGCACATCTTCAGGCTGTGAATAATTTAGAAGAGCACTGGGGAGAAGAGACGAAGATGAACACAAAACACTGGCAGCGTTTGACCTAGAGCTTCAGCTACATCAATGCACATCAGAGCAGAGAGCTCTCTCTCACCCCCCCACTTCTCTCTTTTGCTCTTCATCTGCCTCCCTCTGTGTTGGGGAGGAAACAGCTGTACGCTGTTCTTGTTCCGCCTCACAATCTATGAAACTCAACAGAATGGCTGACAACTCCGTTTCATAAGGATCACTCTTTCTCCCTCCCTGCTCTGGGCATGTCAGGAGAGCCTTGTGCAAAATGGATGCTTGCACATACAGGCTATATGGGGTGGTAAAGGCAGATACATGTCTGTCTGCAGATCCCTTGACACACACAGGACAAATGATGCCCTCACATATGAGAAGGAACATTACACAGCTTCACAGGATGAAATAATCAACTTCAAAGCCACCTTGCTGCCATGACTGACACGATCAGACTGACTTCTGTAATTATGGTTGTCACACTCAACTAGTATTGAAACTAGACAGACATTTCAATTATCAGTTCATCTTAGATCAAGCAAATATCTTGTGTTCAATTGCAGCTGCTTAAATATAAGGATTTGCTACTTTTCTTTCTTAAGTATCTTTGGTAATTGAATATCTTTTGGTCAAAAGAATGTAATTTGAAGACATCATCGTAGGAAATTGTGATGTGTTTTCCTGACAATTTACAGACATACTGATTAACTGATTAGTAGAGACAATAATCAATAGATGATAATCAACAAATGCTCATTAGTTGCATATACTGTACTACATTTGAGTTCACAAAATACTGAATTGTTATCCAGATACCGTAACCATTTAAAAGCTGTGACCTTAAAAAATATAGAGTTCATTTTATTAATTCCATTCTAAATAATTTTATAGTTAGTGTAATATTTACCATCCATGAACTGATATTTGCAGTGAATAAATGCATGAAGAAGACCCAATATGGCATAATGCAGTGGAAGAGAAGAAGCGACCAAGCAGTGGAAACTGTGGACTGCAGCTGTAAATAACAGCTGCCCTGTGATTAGGCACAGAACAGGTTAAACAACACTTGTTCACACTGCCTTTGTCAAAGTGCCATGAATCACCTCACCTGCTGAAGTGTGTGTGTGTGTGTGTGTGTGTGAGATGAAAGGACCACTGGGCATCTGTGGTGGGAGTGACAGTTAGGCAGACAGAGGGCGGTCTGATCAACCCAGAAGGGAGGGGCCCATTTATTACTGTAATTAGGGAATCCTGGGAGTAAAGGAGCTGAGATTGTAAATGCATAATGACATGAAGTAGCAGTGTGGGGAGAACGGGTAAACAAGAGAAACTGAGGACCAAAGATGGCAACTGAACAAAACATGAGGTAACCTGGATTCCTCTCTTTTTTCTTGCCCCCTCCCTCCATCCAACCTCCTCTCACTCCCTCTCCCACTGCCTGCTGCTTGGTCTGCGAGGCTGATATTAATGGGATGTCCCTTGTTTGTAAATGTGCCAAGTTGTGTGCACCACTGCAGGCTGTCTATTATAGCAGGCCTCTGGGGCAGCTTTTCCATATGGCATCACATATGGCACTCAGCAGCATCAATTAATGTTGTTATAATACTGATTTTTATGAGCTAGGATTTCACCTCTTTCCTGTCTTCTCTACACCATCAACTCCTCTCCTTTTCCCCTACTGTTGATGATTCTTTGATTCTTTAAGCTGCCTCTTTTCAATTCTTCAAACCTTCAACAACCTGGCTTCTGAATTGTGGAGGATTCAGAGCTTCCCATGCCAAATTCTCTAAGCTCCTACCAGCTCTACTGAATCCCACTCAAAGTCCTTGAAAATGACTGTTCTGGCTATACAGCAGAAGAAGAGTAACACTACTGCCAATGTGTCAGAATCTTTGAATCTTCTCTGAGAGACTTCGAGCAATGAAATATAAAAGAACACGAGAGAGACAAAGCAGCAATTACAGTGACTGAAAACTATGTTAGATCCCATACTGCATCTGCAACCAAACTCTGCATTTATACAGCACCTTTTGTGGTTTTGGTCTCATTAGGCCAACATCAGGGAGTATACGAGTGTTAAATTAAACCTGTATTTATGCACAAAGTAATAGGCAGATGGTTGTAAGAACAGAATCTGAGGGGTCTTTTTGTTTGCTTGTGCCTTTGGTGGTGGATCTGACAAGAACGTAGCAAAAAGCCCCGCTTGAAGCATTCCCAGCCACACCAGCCTTGTCAGCGATGCCACAATTAGAGACTAGATTACTGGCTCTTCTCAGCGAGAAACATCTCACCATCACTCCTCAATGGAACTCTTTCGTTTGAGGAACACACTCAAAGCGGAGTTTTAAAACATTTTGGATTACTAATCACTCTCAGGATGAAAGGCCCTGGCGTGTTCATTTGTCTCAGCATGGGGAGCTTCCCTTGCCGTTTCTCTGTCTCTGATTCTGATTGTTTTTGCTCGTTTCTTTTTCAGCAGGCAGGCAAGGCAGGCGGGCTGGCAGGCAGCTCTGTTTGAAGGTGTAGTCAGACCCGAGTGCAGGCCTGATGCTTTGTAGTGATATTTCCAGCAGCACAATCTCATTACTTTTTGACGTGGGAGATGCATGCAGGGGCAGATTGTCATTTCATGCTGTCAAAAGTTCTGCAAGGGAACGAAGACAGGAATGGAACTTCAATGACCCACATGCCTCTGGCTCATCAAGACTGAATATATTAAACTAAACAACAGATAAAACCCAATGAACCAGATCCTTGAAGATGCTTGTAAATGTAATGTCCAGTCCCAAGGGATGTTGAAGGGATCTCTGTTGTTATCTAGGATCTATCAGCCCCCTAAACCTGTCGCTGTACCTAATTAATCCACATACAGCTCTGCATATACACTCGGGGAGCACATAATGTATGTAGCTAAGACAAACAAGTGGTTCAGTCTTGAGAGAAAAGGTCCTGAGGGCAGCATCCCACACATCTCAAAGATGGTGAGAGACCCTGGATGTTTCACATGGGACAATCATTGGCAGGTCCCCCGTTTAAAGAAGTGGGGGGCAATCTCTCGAAGTTGATTTCAACATAGAGTTCTTTCAATGCAGAGAAAAACTTTGCTCTGTCTAAGAAGGTGCCAGGCATTGATTGAAGCGCCTGGTTACCATGTGAACCCCAGCCTGTTGCTGGGGTGACTGTCCCAAAGTGCTTCCTGGGTAATTTTCGAGGTCACTGGTTTGTGCACGCCTATGTGGTGCAGATGGGCCCACCCTCATTCAGGTCCCAGCATGAGCTCTTTCATTAGGCCCAGTGAATGGCCTCATTCATCCCCTTCACCTCAATTGGTCACACTGCGTATCCACAGAGGACCCAGGACCAACTTTTCTCTCTTTCCACTCCCTGATCTTCCATGCACCACCCACCTTAGTCATGCGTCACTTCTGTTTAGGAGCATGTGGTGGCTGAAGCTTCAGGGCTCATCGTTTTGCTGCAAACTACCTCAAACTGACTGATAGGTGGAACAAACTACTGACAGTGCTGTCTTTGTTTATCTTAAAAATGTTATAAAAAAGACTATGTGTGACACATTATTTATCAGTCCAGTCCAGCACAAACATTTAGGACATTTCTGTAAATTGGGAAAATCTGATTTTAGCTCTTGAATGCAGCATGAAGTCAAATCAATGTATTTCTATAATGTTAATTGAATGCATGCATAAAATGATAACCACTCATATTTCGAGGTATTTCTAAGGTGGTGCATTTTATACAGACCCTCATGACTTATCAGTGACTGAGTCCCATACTTCCACACTATTTCAATCTCATTGTTGTACAAAAGGTCTCAAGGAGCTGTGTTAGCAGAACTGAGAGCCATTTCATCTTCAAGTTGCTTCTCTCTCCATGGAGTGCAGTGCTTAGCCATGCTAGTGGGTCCTCTACTCCCTGCCTCTTTTTGGCCTTCAAGTGAGTCTCAGGTCTGGCCTAGTGAGAAGTGACTAATTGTCTTGAGTTGTTAGTGTGTCTGGAATGAGGTCCGCTTCAATCACTGACAGGGTGCACAATAATTTTGTTTCTCCCTTCCTCCTCCCCTCTGTGTCTTTCTCCTTCTTGCAGCAGATTTACCCGCTCTGCTTCTCAAGCTACTGAGCTGTAAAACTGCGGGCAGGATACAGAATGAGACCTGGCATTGTGGACGCACTAACCTTGAGGATGGCCACTGCTGCTGGCTGCACCTAAAGAGATGGAGACAGAACATCAGCCATATTGGACTGAGAAGGGTTATAATGAGGAGGGAGGAAAGGCCAAAGGGAAAGGTGGAGACCCTTGCTGAAGATACAGTACAACAGCTTGGTAAAGCAGGTCTAAATTAACACGAGGATGGACACACACACACAATGACAGGATATCAACCACAGAAAGAGGAAAGGAGAAAGCATTAGATATCTTTTTAACTGTCCTTGTCTCCCATTAAATTGCCTGTTCTTCCCCTACTCTATCTTTATTTTCTAAAAGAATATGCTATGTTTAGCCCTGCTAATCCCTCAGCTACTACAGTGTACAAGTAAACCTACCCACATTTGCAATCAGAAGAATCATAATGAAAATGTAAAATGTCTGACAAAATGTGCAGTATGCGTTCTGCAAAAACAGTGTATGATAAAAATGACCCTGGAGCATGTTTCTCACAGCTCTAACAAAACTATCCTTTGTAATTAAATCAACTTATAATTACTCTTGAAAAGAATCTGAGCAATCAATTACTATGAATCGCAAATACACTAGCTGCAGTTTAAATGTGAACAAATGGAGCCTCAGTCCCTTAAAGGTGATATTAGTGCTCTGAACTGTTCTCTCCACAAGAGATTAAGCAGGTTTGTACTCTCTCAGGCGGGTTTGTACCCCCCCCCCCCCCCCCCCGGGAACTGCACTATCATTTGCAGGAAAATTACTTCAGTAATGAAGAACCCAGGCCCATAAATCCTCATGGCCTCACCTTCCTTCACCGCCCAAGTCTCACTGAATAGCTAGTAAAAATTCCCTTTAAAAAATTCATAGTGCAATTTTGCTCAAATCCCTCCCAGCAAGCACAATTATGAAACTTTCATCTCAATTGATTTATGTCCTGGGCTAAGAGAGGGGGGCATTACTTGGACGGGGTGGAGGTTGTGAAGGGAAGGGAAAAACAAGTGATAAATCACTGTTTTTAAAAGGAAAAGCGGGAGGCCTATTGTCACTTTCGCTGCATGTGTTGTAGTGCAGGCGACAGAGAGGTGCACGAATAAGGGGAGGAGGAAGAGGGAAGCAAACATCTGAAGGGTTTGAAAGCAGAAGTGAAATGGCAAAAGGGAGGAGGAGGCCAGGGAGACTGGGGCGAAAGGAGCGGTATTCCGCTTGATTAATAACACTAATCAAATTATACAGTGTTCCACTGTGCCCTGAAATCTGGGGCCATAATGTCCTCTAATGGCGAGGTTCATGGAGCTAAACTTCAGAGGGAAAACACGGCGCTAACTGCTGCATGCCTTAATGAAGGCAGTAAAACATCCATTTCCAGAAGCCATGAAATGAAAGGCAAGATTGTAGATGTGCACCCAGTGGCTCCTCCACTGCAAAAAAAACCCAGAAGGCTGTTAACACAAAAGACAGCATTTGAGAGAGAGAGAGAGAGAGAGAGAGAGAGAGAGACAGAGACAGACAGACAGACAGTAGGATGCATGGCCTTAAGAAGAGAAATGAGGAAAGATGATGAATGACAAATGAAGATATTTAAAGGGAAAGAATACCAAGAGTAAGGGGATATATAAAGAAAAAGGGTGATGAAGTGAGGATAGAAAGACAGATCGGTCGGTCGGTGCTCTCAGTGCTTTATTTCCAGAGAACTTCTCTTCTGGCATGAAGACAATCCCTGTCCACTGATTATGGATGAGCCAGACTGCTTTACTATGTCTGTTATACTTAGTGCTGCTGACAGAAGCCACAATTCATCACTATTTAGTTGCTGATGCACCTAACCACAGCATCCTCCCCCTCATCTATCTCAATACCACTCCATTCCAGTATTCTCTCTGTCCATCCAGGCCTGAATAGTGTTGATCCATGTATCTGTCGTCCATCCGTCCAGCCATCCATGCCATCCATACATCCTTCCTTTCTTCTTTTTGTATGTCATTTGTCTGTTGATGGTCCATCCATCTGTCCATTCAGACCAATCATATATGTCTATCAATCCATTTCGTCTGTTATTTCTAGGTATTACACCACAAGGAGTATGGGTTCTGAGGGGCACACTATACTGTACTGTATGTCTGGCACACTACTGTATGTAGAGAGGCACCTAGTTTAGTTCTGCAGAAAAAGCTTTCCTGCTTTATAACAAACTCAGCTCCAAACACTTACATTTATACCAAAGCATTATGGTTTGCATTTAATCTAGTAAACTGCACATACTACAAACAATCAAATCAGCCATTGCATCTTGAGTAAAGAAAATGTTTGCAATCCTTGGGGCAAAATTTCATCTGGAGAGCAATGGGGAAAAACAACAAAACTGAGAAAACACAGATTGCTATTGTTATTATTATCATACTGTAATTACAATTACAGCTTATCATGTGAGCAGCCTCAGTCACGATGAAATACAGTTTCATTTGATGAAGCTTCCTGTTTTGACTGGCTTGAGTTTGGGAACCACACACTTAGCTGGCATGCCAAAAACTCAATCAGGCACAATTACATAGCCATCAGATAGAAATGTAATTGATTTGAAAGCTGACATGAGATATAACTACATTACAGTGGAGGCACAGTGGGGAGGCTCTTTGGGGACAGGGCCTACGGGGAGCTCATTACCGCCAAGCTTTGAATTATTGAGTGCTAAGACAGTGACACTGAGGAATAGAGGCGAGCCATTGGCTGTAACAACTTGGCAAGTGTTTATCTCAACTTACAGCAACCTAAGACATCTGAAGGAGTGATCTGTCTGTGCATGAATATTGCAAGGAGAGAACTTGTAATGGTTCATAATTGAAAGGGTTCAGGCCACGGCAGAGTCCGTGGGTGCACATCAAGCCTGCTGTTTTCACCAGTAGTATTTGCAACGAGCGCAACTAAAGCACGAAACAATGTAACGTCCTGCTCGTGGGACTCGGGTCAGATTCTTAGTGCTTCGGTTGCCATTTAGTTTGTAGAAGCATCACATATCACACTCAACCCTACATAATGAGAACTGGCTGTTGGCAGAGCATGTGAGCAGAGCGGAGCACGAGCGAGTGGGGGAATTTTGGATAGTGCACAGAGCGGCTTTTTTTAAAAGGGAGGGAGCATCGCCCTATGTCCCGCTCCAATTTCGCTCTGGTACCGCTCACACCAAGAGCCTGAAGCATGTCCAAGCCCGACCCAGAATGCATCAGTGTCTTGGACAGTCATCCATCACTTTTCAGTCAAAAATCAGCTGTGGCTACAGTACTTTAAAAAGTGAAAGCTCATTCAGGTGTACTGTATATTATTATTTAATTCAGTCCATGATTAGTACGGTATATTTTATTTTTTGTATTATATTCCTTGTTACATAGGCCTAACTGTAATTTGAAATAAATCATTTCTATTTGGAATAAAAGTGGTCGTTGTTCTTTAGTTCTCTGGGATGAAAGGCTACGCTTTAAACTAAAAGCAAAATACATGCAGATTTTCCACCCCTTTTTTGGAGTGAGTGGGTGTGATCTGAGTAGAGTGGGATGCAATCTGGGCTGAGCGCTGAGCAATAATGAGCAGAGCGGCCTGGTGCAGCTTTGAGCGAGTGAGCGGAGCAGGAGAAGAACTCTGTGAGTGAGGAGCGGAAATTCTCACCGCTCCACTCCGCTCCTATGCTCTGGTTGTTGGCTAAGTGTGGTGTTTTCCAAAATCTACTCTCACTTATGAAAAATCTGCTTGGTTGATTTCTGTGTTGTTTAGTTTGGTTGTTGCTGAGCCTGCTGGCTAGTTTCATAGCTGGAAGCATAGCACTACGCATGGTTTGATTTGTCTGCATCTTGTCTTGTTTGAAGCGGCTTTTGTTATTTTACCAGAAACATTTTCGGTTTTTGTCACTTCTTAGCTTGACAGACACAAAGAGCTTAAATGAGGTGGCAGCCTTCCTTGGGCTGGTGGAGGGGTGAAAAAGCACATCTGTCTGGCCCTGACCACCAGCCTACAGGTCTTCCCTGAGGTGCTCAGAAGTGAATGTTGAGAAGATAAAGATATGAGTCACTTCAGAGGGGCTCCAGCATCCCCAAGGGAACTGGTGACCGCCTACCTCTGGGAGAGCTATGCCCCTTAGGCTTCTGCCACTGATCTCCCTCTGCCTCGCTCATTCTTCTATCACTCTTCTCTCTCTCCTCACACAGCTCTCCTGTGAGCTTTCTCACAAAAATGAGAACTCAATTAATTCAGGCAAAATGAGGACGAGGAGGAGGAGGCCTAGGGAGCCCAAAGAGACAGAACGAGAGGCAAAGAGAGAGAGGAAAGCCTAATAGAACTGCTTGTCGATCTGTGGCCAAACAAAGCATAGGGTGACTGTGCATGTGCATTAAGCCTTTAGCCAAGTTAATCCTGTCTGCAGTTTAAACATGGCTCATGAACGAACACTCCTCGTTACAGAGGGGGATGCTGGGTAAATAGATGGGTCACAGGGATGCGGATAAGAAAAGTGCCAGAAAAGCACTGGCACTGAAGACAGATGATGAAAACAGAGTAGGCATGATTAGCAATATTCTGACACTTAATCAGCTCTGTGCTGTTTATTACATAAATGCTGGTAGGGCCTCACAGTTAGACCTTCTACTAGACTTCAGTGATGACTTAAACTGACATTTTGATCATTACAATGCAACAATGACAGATGCTCTAGATGTATATGTACCATTGTAGATGGTTTCACTACATTCCCTTACAATAGCCTACATAGCACTGTTGTTACAAATACCAGAACTTCTGTTTATCTAAGGGAATGACCAAACTGTGGTGTGAAAAGGCTGCATGGCAGTTTATGAATGTGACCTCTGACCTTGAGAACAAAGACCTCATGCTAAAGATGCAAAGTGCAGTGGGACACACAGCAGTCATCAATCTTGTGTGAGCCCGGTCAACCTGCTTAATGCAATATTAGGCTACAAGCCACCACATGGCTCAGTTAATTTTCTTATAGCCTTGTCGAAAAACCAGCTGTTAGCAGGGGCTGTTGCCAGGTTTCGGTTCA